ACGACAGATGGCCGAGAGATGGCCGAGAGATGCCCGAGCTACACCCGAGATGTGACCGAGATAGGTGCTGTACAAGCTGATCGACGAGTGCCTCGACTCGCGCAACCCCGAGGAGCTCGACGCGCTCAAGAGCAAGGACTACTCCAAGGTGAAGGACCCACCCTCCCCTACCCCACGGTACCCGAACCCACCCTCCCCTACTCCACGGTACCCGAACCCACCCTCCCCTACCCCACAGTACCCGAACCCACCCTCCCCTACCCCACGGCACCCGAACCCACCCTCCCCTACCCCACGGTACCCGAACCCACCCTCCCCTACCCCACGGTACCCGAACCCACCCCCAAGGTCAAGGACCCGTCCATGCTTCGCTTCCTCATCGACTTGCGCGGCGAGGAGGTCGACAACAAGCAGATGCGCGACGACCTCATCACGCTGCTCATCGCGGGGCACGAGACCACCCTTGATTCACCCTTGATGCTCACCCTTCATTCACCCTTCATTCACTCTTCATTCATCGATAGGCACGAGACGACGGCCGCGGTCCTCACCTGGCTCACCTACGCCCTCTCGCAGCACCCGGAGGCGCTCAGGCGTGTGCAGGACGAGATCGACACCGTGGTCGGCGACCGCTACGCCACCGTCGACGACATCAAGCGCATGCCCGAGGTGCAAAAGGTGATTGCAGAGACACTGCGCATGTGGCCCGCGCCGCCCCTCTTCATCCGGTGTGCCACCGAGGCGCACCAGTGGCCCGCCGCTCCGCTGCATCTCCCCATCTCTCCCCAGATCTCCTCAAATCTCCCCATAGGCGGACCAGTGGCCCGAGGGTGGAACGGGCGTCGAGGGCGGCTTCGCGCTCGCTCGCGCGAACGACCTCTTCATCTCGACGTACAACATGGGCCGCTCGCCCCAGCTGTGGGAGGAGCCGGACGTCTTCGACCCGCAGCGGTGGGACCGGCCGTTCGACAACCCAGACGTCAAGGGGTGGGCGGGCTACGACCCCGCCAAGCGCACCGGCGTCGACACCTAGACGCGGAACACGTAGTCTTGTCTCCCGACTAGCGCTCGAGAGGACACGGACTCCGCTGTGTTCGCAGCCCCTCGTATCCACGCGGTGCTCTAAGAGCACTGCACAACACCCTCTTCCCGCCCTGATGTCGGCGTCTTCACGCGTCAGGCTTCGACCCCAAGACGGGCAAGATGAAGCCCGAGGGAGGGCTGTGGGTCGCAAACCTCGAGATCGCGTCTGACCACGCCATGATCCCCTTCGGCGCGGGGGAGCGCAAGTGCGTGGGCGACCAGTTCGCGCTCCTCGAGGCGGCGGTCTCGGTCGTCATGCTGCTGCGCCGCTTCGAGTTTGATCTCGAGATGCCCGACGGGCCGGTGAACCCCGCGAAGCTCGACCCAGACAACCCGGACAAGTCGATCGGCACGGTCGGCATGGTCTCGGCGGCGACCATACACACCGCCACCGGCCTCTTCTGCCGCGTCAAGGAGCGCTTCCCGGGCAGGACGGACTTGCCGCCGCGGCAAGACCCCAACCTCCAGGCGCCCGAGCCAGAGGGGCCTGCCTTGGGGGAGCCCGCGCTCGTACCGTAGATTAGAGTGTCCCCCCTGCATTGTGTGTGCGCGGCCCCTCCGACACCCGAGTCACTCACACCTCTGGAGAGTGATTCTCGACAGCCTGTAGCCCGCGCGCGGCGCTCGAGGCTACACGCGCGCGCACTGCACGGGGAGCGCTTGTCTTCCACGGCACCGCGGCCTCGCTTCCCAGGCATCTGCATGTCTGCGCATGTACCCCCCCCCCCCCACACACCTCCGCCCTTGCGCGCGGCTGAGTCGGGGTCTCGCGGCGCCATTTTGTTGTACTGTGCGCGACGTGTTTTTTCTGTGCCTCCTCAGTCTGTGGTAGAGAGAAGAGAGGTACCCGCGCGTGCGGGCGTGGCCAAGCCGCCCAAAGCTCTTACACACCACAGCCGTGTACTGCGTACAGAGAGACGGCTTTTACCGTGTGTGCCAGGTGTGCACAGTACGTGTACATACGGTCCCCCCACGCCCCCTCCAGGGCCAGTCAGGGCACAGGCCACAGCACTCAGCAGCAAGAGCGAAAAGACTAAAGAGGGGGTGCTGGCCCCCCCCCGGCGCCCCCGCATCAAATCAAGAGGGAGGTGTTGTGCGACGCCGTTCCTCGCTCTGACGGAGGGCTCTGGAGTCCTTGAAGTCCGCCAACGCGGTCTGGGCAGCTGGTTCGAAGGGAAGAGCTGGACGCGAAGGAGTATCCTTTTCTGGAGGCCATCGTGCCTGCAGCGTCGCACAGCAACGCGGGATAGTCGAGGAGATCTGGGTCAACGTCGGGACCGAAGCGCTGCTGCTCCCGCCGCCGCTTGACCCGTGGAGTTGACCTCCGCTGCCTCGTGCTACTCGCGCGGCGACCAGTCGCGACGAGAATCACAAGAAGAAGCGCCACGGCCGCCGCGCACGCGACCAACTGCGCGTGCGATCGCTGAGGGGCGCGCACTGCACGGCCGCCCTGGCCGTCCCGTGCGTCCGCAAGCCGTGGCTTCCTCGCCGGCGCCAACCTCTCTGGGTGAGACGCCCCGTCCGCGCCCGCCACCTGCGAGGTCGCATCGTCGTGCCCCACGACGAGAAGTACGCAGTCCCCGGGCGGCACGGTCGCATGCGAGAGCTCATGTTGCGGCCTCCGCCGGCGAGAAAAGGCGAAACGCGCCCACGCGCCCGCCTGAAGGTCGCTCGTCCCGCCCTCATCAAAGATAGACGCTTGCGCAAGCGGACGCGTTCGAAGCGCGTGCCACGGGATCTCGGCCGTCGCCGGGCGCTCGTCGTGGTTGATCAGCAGCAGCACCGCCGACACTCCGTCCGTGGAGCGGCGCACCCATCTCGCACCCTACCTGGTTTCCTTTCCGTGTTTCCTGCTCGTTTCCCTACAACACCCTCTAGTTTCCTCGGGAAACCCCGGGGAAACTCCGTGGAATTCGTCATTTTGGGGGGGCTCTGAGCCGTGTCTGAGGCTGTTTTGCTTTTGGGGCCAAAATCGGCAAAATACCGGGTATTTTGCGGGTATACTGGAAAACCCCGGTATACCTGGAAAATACCTGGGTATCGTGCCGATTTCCTCAATTTTGCCCCAGATTTTGCCCCAGGCCAGCTCTCAGACTCAGGGAAACTCGCGAGTTTCCCGAGGGAAACTCGAGAGAAACAGAATGGAGCACCAAACACCCTCTGGTTTCCCTGGAAACTTCCGGAAACGCAAAGTGCTGGGGACCCTCTGGTTTCCCTCTGGGTTGCCGGAAACCCTCGGAAAGGCCAAATTTCAACCCCGCTCGCGCCGAGCGAGGTGAGTGGATACAAAACAAACAGGACGAGGATGACAGGGTCCCCACCTGCATCATTGGTGCCCGCGCCGCCTCTTCTGCGGACGGGCCCACCACCCTTCACGTACGGATCATGTAGTCCCCACACTCGCTGTCGTGGGATTGCTTGTCGTGTGCGAAGGCGTGTTTTGTTGTTTCGATCTTGCAGCACTTGGAGTGCAGTTAGTTGCCGCACGCCCAGGACCGGGGAGCTCAGAAGCGCACCCAGATCCCAGTTGGCCGGACGATTGGGATCGGGTTGCGGGCAAGAGAGCCCTAGCCCCGGGGGTGCGCGGTCGCAGGGCCATAACACGTCTCCGAGGGATGGTTCCGTGTACCGGGTGTTACCCCTTAACTGCAGAACGCACCCTCTTCCTCGACCGTGGGGGGGTGCGCGTTCGCAGGGCCATAACACGGGTCTCCGAGGGTTAGCTCTGCGCTCCGGGGTTCCCCCAGCGGCGGAATTTTTCCCTCGCGTAGCTGCGGAACGCCCCGGCAGTGTACGGTTTTCTTTTCGCGACATGTGCATATGCGCGTCCAGTCCTCTATCACGCTCCGCCTGCTCTCGCCCCTCCTCGCCGCCGGCGCCTCGCGCTCGCGTCCGCCCCTCCGCGTCGCCTCGCGCGCGTGCCGCTCAGCCGTGGCCGCGTCGGTCGCGGTTCCGCTGCCTCCGCCCGAATCGCCTCCTGCTCCTCCGCCTCCCTCTCCTGGCCGCCAACACCGGCAGGGCACGCTGCCGCCGCCGCCGCCGTTTGCGTACGCCTCGCTGGCGCGCAGTCTCGCCGCCGTCGAAGCGGAGCCCGCACGGCTCGGCAAGGAGGCTCTGATGCGACGGCTGCTGGATGAGGCTTGGGGAGGAGAGGAGCAGCTGCTGGCGTGCGTCGCGCTGACGACGCTGCAACTCGCGCCGGGCGGCCGGCCCGTCAAGCTCGGGCTCGGCAAGGCGCTCCTCCTCGACGCCATCGCCCACGCCGCGGCGCGACATCGGCCCGACACCGCGCCGGAGGAGCACGGCGGCAGCGCGCAGTACGGCGGCGGCGCGCGGCCAGAAGCGCTCGCCGCTCGGCTCAAGGAGCTCGGCGACATCGGTGCGCGGGTCTAGATGCAACGGGGAGGTGGCACGGGCCGCTCACCCCACCCCACCCTTGGCTCCACCAATCGGCGACGTGTCACGCCAAAGCGACCGTGTATACTCGCTCGCTGGTGGCCCGCGCGAGGCGGCGCTGCTCCGTCTCCGCTAGGTACGCTCGCCGCCGAGGCGCTGGCCGAGGCGCGCGGGTCGGACACGCGGTGGGAGGCGCCGCCCGCGAGCGGCGCTGTCGGCGTCTCCGAGGTGCTGCGCACGCTGAGGGTGGTGCAGGAGGCGGCGGGCGCCGGCTCACAGGCAAGGAAGACGGAGCTGCTCGGCGCGCTGTGAACAGCGTCTCTTCACACCTGCAGCTGTGAACAGGCGAGGAAGACGGAGCTGCTCTCCGAGCTTCTCTCACGGCTGTCGCTCGGCGAGGCGCAGCTGCTCCTGCGGATGATCGCGGGGAAGCAGCGGACCGGGTTGGGCGACAAGTCGCTCCGGGCGGCCCTCGCGCAGGCGGCGCTGCGCCAAGCGCTGCCCGGACACGACGAGAGCGATCTCGGCCGCGAGATTGCAGCGGCGAGCGCAGAGGCGGCGGCGGCCGCCGCCGAGGCGCTAGGCGGCGGGCCTCCGGCGCGGCTGGCGTCGGCGCTGCGTGCCGCGCGCGAGGCATGCGCGGAGGGAGGCGGCGGGTGCGACGAGGCGGAGGCGGCGAAGCTGTCCGAGGAGATCAAGGAGGCCGCCGGCTCTGCTGTGCGGAAGCGGTCGAGCGCAGAGGCCAAGGCGCGAGCTGCGCTCAAGCGGCTCGGCACGCTGCGCGCGCAGCAGCGGCGGGCGGCGGTCGAGCGGGTGCAGGAGACGTTCCAAGTGCGCCCCTGCTACCCACCCCTACCCCCCACCCCTACCCCCCACCCCTACCCCCCACCCCTACCCCCCAGGTGCGCCCCTGCTACCACGCCCTCGTCGCCGACCTCTGCCGCCGCGGCATCTTCGGGCTGGCGCCGGGTGTGGTGCAGCCGGGCGTGCCTGTCCAGCCGATGGCTGCTGCTGCGGTGACGTCGGTGGAGGAGGTGATCTCGCGCATGGGGGGCTCGCCCTTCCTCGCAGAGGTCAAGTACGACGGAGAGCGGTGCCAGCTGCACTGGGTCCCAGCGAGTCCGCAAGCCGCGGGGGACGGCGGAGCGGCCGCCGGCGCCGTGCGCATCTTCGCACGGTCGATGGACGAGATGACTGCGCGCTTCCCGGACGTGGCCGACGCTCTCGCCGCCGCGATGCCGCCGGGCGCCCCCGCCGCGGTGCTCGACGCGGAGGTTTGCGCGTACGACCGCGCGGCGGCGCGGCCCCTCCCCTTCCAGACGCTCGCGGCGCGGCCACGCAAGGCTCCGACCGCGGAGCAGCAAGCCGCGCTGCCGGTGTGCATCTATGTCTTTGACGTGCTCTCGGCCAACGGAGCGTCGCTGCTGCACAAGCCGCTGCCGGCGCGGCGCGCGGCGCTGCGCGCTCTGCTCACCCCGGTGGCGGGGCGTGTGGAGCTGGCACAGGGCGAGGAGGGGTCAACGGCGGAGGAGCTCGAGGCGGCGCTGGTTGCGGCGGCCGAGATGGAGGCGGAGGGGCTGATGGTCAAGTCGCTCGCGGACGACGCCGAGTCTGGGTACGCGCCGGGCAAGCGGTCCTTCGCGTGGCTCAAGCTCAAGCGAGACTACATCGACGGGCTCGCCGACTCGTTCGACCTCGTCCCCGTCGGTGCCTACGCCGGGACCGGCAAGCGCTCGGGCGGCTACGGAGCGTTTCTGCTCGCCTGCAGGGTTGCTGCGCCGGGCGCGGCGCGCTACCAGCCCGTCTGCAAGGTCGGCACCGGCTTCTCCGACGACGACCTCGCGACCTTCAGCGCCCTCTTCGAGCGCGGCGGCGCCGCCGCCCCGCGCGGCGACGGCGGGCCGCCCACGTGGCTCGACCTGCCCGCGTCGCTGCCGCCACACTACGAGCCCGACTACTGGCTGGCCACGCCGGCGCCTCCCGCGGTGTGGGAGGTGCGCGCTGCGGCGCTCTCGCTCTCGCCAACCTTCCTCGCGGCGGCGGGGCTGCTGCCCGAGGAGCCGGCCAAGGGCCTCGCGCTCCGGTTCCCGCGCTTTGTGCGCGCGCGGCCCGACAAGGCGCCAGGGCAGGCGACGAGCGGCGCGGAGCTCGCCGAGGCCTTCCGGGCGCAGCCCGAGTTTGCGAGCTTGCGGGCGGAGGGATAGTACCCTGCCAGCAATTGATCAGTACTCTTTTGCAAAACTGAGTCGGGGTGCCCTAGAGCCGTACTGCAGAGGGGCGGCTCGGCCTTGCCCTTGGCGCTTGGGCATGGAGGGGGCGCATGGTCGGGCGCCCGCTTCCGCGGGCGCTGGGCCTGGGGCGCTTCGGCCCCCTTTCATCATTCATGAAGCCCCCCCTCCGGCTCTGTCCGCTGGCTGTGTGTCTTGTGAGCCTGTTTGTGTCTGTGTGTCGCTCGTGCGTGTCGTCATCATCTGTCTAGCGTCCACCCATACCGCGTTGGTGTCCAGTCCGAGGAACCGGGAGCCTGGCTGTTCTTCACCTTTCTACCTAACCTAACCTAGAGAGTGGACCTGAGCAACGATATGACTTGGCGGCAAATAATCGCAGTGGACGTCAGAAGAGTCGTCCTTGCGCGAGGAGAGCTCGATAAACTCGAGGGGCCAAAATATGCCGCGAGGAGGGCAGAGCTGCGCCGAGCAGGGAGAGCAAGGGAGCGGCAGGCGGCGGCACCGTCGCAGGACGAGGCAGAGGAGAGCGACGCGACAGAGCTCAGAGGAAGAAGCGACAAGAGAGAGAACGACGAGAGTGGGACGACCGAGGGGCGGCATGAAGGTTGCAGCGAGAGTCGGCGAGAGACTGCGAGGAGAGATAGGAAGAGGCGGACGCCCAAGGGTGGGCGACGGCTAGCGCATCACACCCCTCTCCCTGTGTGGTGGCGGCGTGCCGTTCCCTTGGCTTGTGTGTTTTTCTTTTTTCACCTTCGCCGTCCTCGTCATCACGTCCGAGAGATTTTCGAAAACCAACAAGGAGCAAGCGCTCGCTCGCGCTTCGCACACCCGCTTTCATCCGCTTTGCCGCTTGCGGGTTCGAGTCGCGGGCCAGCCCGCTTGCGGATTGCTTTAATGAGTAGTTAAGAATAGCACAAAAAGAAAAACGGCGAAGCTTCCGGGAGTTTGCTGCTGCGGGGTTGCACAGCTCGCGACGAGCAGCCGCGCACGAGAGCCGCCACAATATGCTGCTGCTGACCTGCTTCGCCGTTCACCTCGAGCCGCGCCTCGCCACTCGTGCCCACGCAGCGCCGCTGTTCGACCCGCTCGGTCTGGAGCAGGTGCAGCCGACCGCGCAGGCTCACCACCAGCTGGTGCCTGCTGGCGGTGCCATGGTGGCGGCGCTGGCGGCGGCACGGCCAGAGGCCGCGCTCGCAAAGGGCGGCGAGTACGGCATCTTCGAGGGGCGCATCGTCTCGCTTGCCCACCCCGCCGTCATGGCGATGATGTACGCGGCGACCGCCTGGGCCGCGTTCACCGGTTACCAGTGGAGGCAGCTTCGTGAGATCGGCAACCAGATCACGGAGCTCAAGGACAGGAAGAAGAAGCATGAATCGCAGCTGAAGGTGCTGGCCGACGGAGAGGCCGAGGCCGCACCTCCCGCCCTCACTGCTGAGCTCGCCTCGCTGACGTCCCAAATCGACGAGCTCACCACGACCCGCAAGGAGCTGGCCTCGAGCGATCTCCGCGCCAAGCACTACCAGGTTGGCTCCGTGATCCTTGGGCTGGGCACCGCCTTTGCGATTGAGGGGCCCGTCAACACCTTTCTGCGCGCGCAAAAGCTCTTCCCAGGCGCGCTCCCTGCAGATGCGAGGCTCTGACCTCGTGTCTGCTAGCCCGTGCTCAAACCGCACCACGCGCACCCACCGCCTCACGAAGGCATAACGCTCTCTTCACGGCGCCGCCCCCTCGGCTTGCACCGCGCAGGCCCGCACCTCTACGCCGGCGCCGGTGTGGTTGTCTGCTGGGCGATGGCGGCGTCGCTCGTGCCGCTGATGTCCAAGGGCAAGGACGCGGCCCGCACGGCGCACATCGCCTTCAACGTGCTCGCGCTCGGCCTCTTCACGTGGCAGCTGCCCACCGGCTGGGACATCACTCTCAAGGTGATCAAGTTCACAAAGTTCCCGTAGAGGAGGCAGCAGGCAGGGAGAGCCGACCCTCGGCCCCTCGCCCACGACCCCTCTTAGCTGTGGCCACTTGCCCGCGCGCGCTCCTGCCACGCGTTGCGTTGGTGTGTCGACGCCCGGACGGCGGGCAGTCCGCACCCTCGCCTCGCAGCGCGCGTATTATGTTTTATGTGTCGCACACACGCAAGCGTCACCGAACCGCGAACGCAGCCGCGTGGACCGGGAGTCGGATCCTCTTGCGTCTTGCTCGCTCTCTTGGTGCTCGGATCCTCATGCATGTGTCATTGTCGATTGTCGTGGCTCGTCGTGTGTTGAGCACACTGCACCCTGGGCATCGAGCTCTTTGGGCCATTACTTGTTTCCTCAGGGGGGGGGCCAACGGGACCGCGCACACGCAGTCGCAGAGACGAATCCCCAAAAAGGTCCCCAGCTCAACAGCGTGGACTCGAAGCGTGGACATGGACGATGGAGTGTGACCCCGGACACCCCCCCCCCCCCTCTTCCCCGCAACACACACACAAACTCTCCACACCGCGCGGCTAGTCCTGATCTCGCGCGTGGCTAGTCCCCCTGGACTGACCTCGCTACGCGGTGGTTCTGGTTGGCGTACAGATCTGGTCGCCACCGCCCGCTGGCTCGAAGTCACGCTCTCGGCCGCTGTCTGCCCGGCCGCGCGGCCGCCACGGCCCGCCCGCCCGCTCTTGGGAAGTGCACGTGTGCACCTTGCGGCGTGCGCAGGCAGTTTGAGCCTCGTGCATGTCGTCGACGATCAGGCAGTTTGAGCCTCGTGCACTCGACCCGCGAGGCCGGCTGCGAGCACATATTCGCCTCGCTCTGCAGCAGAAAGAACTTAAACGAAAAAAGAATCGCGCGGCACGCCTGGCGACCTGCTCGTCCTCCTCGGCGCCCCAATGGAGAACCCACACACCTCGGGAGGCCAGCCGGTGCCGATGGCCGGCGAGATGTTTGTGCTGAGCCGTCGCGGGCTCGCCTTCACCGCCAGCAGCGGCAGCCGCAAGTTTCAGGCCGGTGGCCAGCTGTTCCTCTCGCCACTGCGCATCGTCTTTGTGGCGCGCGATCTTCCGTCCCGCGGCGGCGGTTTTCCCCGCGCTGACCCCTCCCCCCCCCGCGCGGCTCAGGCAGAGGAGTCGTCCGGGAGCGGGCTGCTGGGTACCCTCTTTGGCGCGTCCAAGGCCAACGTGCTGGCCTTCGACCTGCCGCTCGCGACCCTCGAGAGAGAGAGCTTCAACCAGCCCATCTTTGGCGCAAACAACCTCACGGGCGTCAGCCCTCCGCTCCCGGGCTCGGCCTGCGACGGAGCCGACATTCACTGGTGCCTCTCCTTCCAAGACGGCGGCGTCGGCACCTTCCTCCCCATCTTTTTCGGCCTGCTCGCCGAGATGCGCTCACGCCTCGAGGCTGAGCGGAGCGGTGCGGCCGGTGCGGCGGCCGGCGGGTCCACAGACGTGCCGACGGCATTCGCAGTCGCGGTGCCTGAGACGGCGGTGGCCGAGGTGGTGAGGGCGGCGTATGTGGACCCTTCGGACCCGACCAAGCTGTACGTCGAGGCAGCTGGCCCGCGCGCGAGGAGGGGCGGCCACTTTCGCGAGTAAGGTGTCGTGGCAAGCCTCGATAACGCCCCAGGCCTCCAGGGCTTTGGATCGGCCGGGGCAGGGGCTGGGCGTGTTGTACTCTCTGGGTGGCCTGCCGGGCCGACACCGCGGAAATCTCGTGCGTCGTGTGAGCTCGTGTGTGACAAAGTTTACTGTCAGATGGCTAGCCAGATGTGCTCGACGCGATGCTGTAATTGGACGGTTACTTTAGCGGCAGCTGTGTCGTGCGGCCCGCGGCGGTGCCGCTGGCCGCGGGTGCCCCGGTGGCGGGGGGCGGGGTACGGCTTACGGCTTTAGAGCTGTTTCACACACATTAACTTTTTGGGCCTTTAACACAGTTGAGCTACGCTAGTGTTGGCTGAAATCCTTAACGTTGTTCAAGTGTTCACCCCAGCCCATGCTGTTACTGTTTGTTACTGTTGTTACTGTTGTTCAGCGGTCAGCGGCAAGCAGAAATTGCCGAAAAACCCCGGGGTATTAGAACCCCAAACGATACCTTGGGTTTTCCCGGGCATTTTCGTGCGGCAAACACACACGGTGGATGTGATGAGGATATGTGAGACGAACATATGATAGATGTGAGCATGTGGAGCGGCCGCACACTCTGCTCGGTACCGCGTACCGGCGCCCCTGCACACCTAAGCTCACGGCCGACCCCCCCCCCCCAGCAGCAGAGCTCTGGCGCTGGGGGGGTCGGGACCCCCCCCAGCAGGAGCGCTCTGCCTGTGGGGGGTGCTGGCGCAGCTGTAAGTAGCAATGTAGCATGCGTTCCACTTCCAGTGGCGAGAATTTATGGTCGGCACCAAAATCAGTGGTCTCACCGGCGGGCCCTCCTACTGCCAGCCGGCCGGTGCGGGGCACGCCAGCCTCTCTTCTACGCCTCTCGTGCCTCGCGGCGCCTCTGCTTCAAGGTACAAGGAGGGAAGATACGGCGCTCGCAGCCCATCATACGCCATGGCACAGCGGAGAGCACAGCGGGCTGTACAAGTCCATTAGATAGCGCTCAATATCGTCGCATGCTCGTCGTTGGTGATATCCGCGCGAGGTCATGCGCCAAAGGCCAGCAATCACTCGGTGATGAGACTACTGATGAAGGCGCGACGCTCTGGCACCGAGTGTTGCTCGGCGCTGCGACACCTAATTAGAGTGGTAGTACAAAAGAGAAAGACCCACAAGTCTTTAGTAACACGCCAGCACTCGACACGACGAAGGTGTATTGGGCTCGAAGGCGCGGTGAACACAACCGCCTCGAGCGTACCACTCGTACCGCTCACACGAGCGCGCGGGGGGGGGGGGGGGGGGGGGCAAAAAAACCGGAACTGGGCCCGGGGGCCCCCTCCTGCTGGGGGGGGAAAAACCCCCCCCCCTAGCAGCAGGGATGAGCTTAGAAGTGCAGGGGGGGTACCGAGCAGTGTGCGGCCGCTCATGTGACATCATCCTCACCCGCACTTGGACACCGATCTCGAGCGTCGGCACCAGCTTTTCAGTGGCAGAGTCACCGCCGCACCAGGAGCCAATCGCTACTTTTCTCAGGGAAGGAATGGAGGAATGATGAGTAGCGCGCGCGCGTCGATGCTCTCCTGCCGCTTGATGCCCTGCGAGGGGCTGTCTAGGAAGTGTCTAGGAAGTGTCTAGGAAGTGTCTAGGACACCTCGTCACTGAAAAGCTGGAAAAGCAGTATACCCGGCTTTATATCAGGTCGGGTGGGCCGCCTTCCAGTGGTCGGCGAGGCCGTGTGGCCAGTGCCCCGGCCCTGCGGCGCCGCCTTAGTGAGTGAGTGCTCGCTTACCCTCCCGCCACACACTAAATCGGCATCCGTGTGTCCAAGACCTGGCGAAGCGCCGAAGCCTCCTGCACGAGAAGGAACTAAGTCAACCTAAATGAAATGTTGCCCGAGCCGTTGCCTACCTCGCTCCATGTTTGAGCTGTGCTGCTCTGCGGCTCTTCCTATCCGTATGTGCCGCAACAACAGTGACTCCGCCGTGTGGACTCCAGAGAGAAGGTTGTGAGAGCACCTCTGACTCATATACATGCGTCAATGAGCTTGCCTGCGGCGAGGGCGGTCGAGTGCTAGCACACGGAGCCAAGTGCCTCGCCGCCCCCTCGCAGTGGAAAGAAAAGGCTGTATCTATGGCACAGCATCGTGCACGTCCTCCCCTCGACGTGAACGCGCGACATGCACATGCACATGCACATGCACATGCACCATGCACATGCACATATGTGTGCGGCGGATCCTCGGCGAACCACTCGAGTGAGACTGTGTCTATCGTACCGAGCGCGCGCTCACCCCTTCCACACACACGATGAGCACGACCCCGCCCTCTCTCGCAGACGAGGGGGGGGAGGGGGGGGGGGGGGGGAAGTTCCTACCCAAAGCGAGATCCCAAACCCCTGGCCCTGAACTGATCCTCTACTCGATGCATCCGATCGTGCCAATTCCACCGCCAACATAGCGCAGGTTCGCGCCCTCGGCGCCGTCGCCGTAATAGGGCACAAAGAAAGGGCGATCGCCGACGGTCACCGCGCCGGAAAAGACATCTCGGTCGTTCCGAACGCTGTTCCAGTCGATGCCGTCTGTGGCGGTGGGGGTTGCCATGTCAATGCACAATGGTTGTAAGTTGAGAGTCTCCGCGTGCAAAACTCCCACGTGGTCAGCGCGGGCCGGCGCGAAAAAGATCCATGGCCCGACCGCAGTCGCGCCAGAGAACAAGTACAAAATCCCTTCGGAAGACCGGGATTTAATGGATGGAGCCAAGGGAATCCGACTGAACGTGTTTGTGTCCGTGTCCAGCATGCCGATGGGCGTCTCGAGGTTTGCAGGCGCAAAGAAAACCTTGCCTTCAAACGAAGCCGCCCCCCAGTAACCTAGTCTCGCCAGGTCATGATTACTTACTTCTGAGCGCTCGCGAATTCCCTTTTTCTGCTCCCCCGGAGAAAGAAAGAAACAGGTGAGGACGTGAAGAAGGACGAAAGAAAAGAACCGTCCTGTGCTCCCATAGTTGGTCAACAAGCAGAAATAGCGCAAGCGCACGTACTCGAATCATCGGAAGGGAAAGAGCATGTAAGTGCGTTAGGGAGAGGCCCACGCTGTGGAAACATCGGACCGCGCGATCGTTTCATTCAGCTCGACGGCGAAACGAAGTGTTGCCATTGGTCGGGCGCATGGCGACTACACCTGCCCGGGACAAGCGCGGCAGGAGACGGCGCTCACGCCTGACAGGGTACCTACTCCTCGCACCCGCTGCTTGCGGTGCCCTGTTGCTTCTCGCTGTCGCGCCCGCCACGGCAGAGCACCGGCGACTCAGCGAGGTGAATTCGACGGAGGACGGTGGATTGGGGGCATGCATGGGTGATCTGGGACTGCAGCAGTGGGAACTCAGCGGCGGGGTGCTCCTGCACCTCCTGGGCGTGCTATACCTCTTCCTTGGCATTGCAATTATATGCGATGAGTACTTTGTCGAGTCACTCGAGCTTCTCGCAGACTACCTCAGCTTGTCGCCCGATGTCGCGGGCTGCACTCTCATGGCCATAGGCTCGTCGGCGCCGGAGCTCGCAGTGGCGATCATCACAGGCGGCCCGGTGGCAGGGAAGAAGGGCGACGAAGGCATTGCCACAATTGTCGGCTCTGCGATTTTTAACCTCATGATCATCATCGGGCTCTGCGCGATTTTTGCCGGCAAGGTCCTTGAAATCGCAGCCTACCCCATCCTGCGGGACACCACATTCTACGCTGCCTCCATCGTCATGCTCTTTCTGTGCATACGCGATGGCCAAGTCCTCTGGTGGGAGGGCCTCATTCTGCTGCTGGGGTACTGCGTCTACCTGTTCTATGTCGTCTACCTAAACAGCAGGGTGGTGCTGTGGCTCGAGACCCGGAGGCGGGGTGGGCAAAAGAGCACCAATCGGGTGGTGCCATCGGCCGACATCGAGGCGAAGGCAGACTCCGACGCCAAGACCGACACTGATAGTGCGGCTAGTGAGACGGGGACGCTGGGGTCGATTGGCTCCAGCAAAGTTGCAGATGGCACGGGCGAGGGCGAGGCCGACGAGGAGGGGCGACCAACTGCTCTGAGCAGAGTGGTGTGGTTAGTGAGCCTGCCGTATGCGTGCCTCTTTCTCGTCACCGTCCCGGACTGCCGCAAGGAGCGCTGGCGGAAGTGGTGAGACCCCCCCCTTCCCCCCCCCCCCCCCGCCGCCCCCGCCCAGCCACCACCCGCCGCCCCGCTCCAAACTCACAATGCACACGAACAGAACGGACACCCTCGACGCACCCCTAAAACGGGCCCGCTGCGCGGCAGGTACGTGGTGACTTTCTTCATGTCTGTCATTTGGATCATGGGGCTCTCGTTCGCGATGCTTGAGCTCTGCCGCCGAGCTGGCTGCGTCATGAATCTGCCGCAAGCTGTCATGGGGCAGGTCATCATCGCCGCTGGCACGAGCGTCCCCGACGCGCTCGCTTCCATTTCTGTCGCCCGCGACGGGCAAGGCGACATGGCGGTGAGCAACGTCATCGGCAGTAACGTCTTCAACATCTTTGTGGGCCTCGGCTTCCCGTGGATGCTTTGCGACCTCATCCGTGGGCCGTACGCGAGCTCGGCGCTGACGGAGGGCTTGGTCGCCTCGGTCATAATCCTGTTTGGGTACATCCTCCTCCTGCTTGCAGTCATGCTGTGCTCGTCGTGGAAGCTGAGGCCCTGGGTGGGCTATCTCCTCATCGCGCTCCATCTCCTCTACATTATCTGGGTGCTGCTAACCTCAAGGTTGGGGGGAGACCCCGTCCTCACTATCCCGCTGGTCAACGCTGACGAAAATGGCGTGCTCTACTAGAAGCTGGCCTGCACCCAGCTGCGTCGCTCGCGTCTCACGAGCTCTTTAGAGCGGCCAAGAGAGGCGAACTTCCCCAATATCCCACGCTCTCCTCTCGCTCACCTCTCGCCCCTGGCCCTGCATCGAGAGCGCCGTTTGCTGCTGGCCCCCTTGGCCGCACTCGCCCTCGGCCTCGCGCCTCTCCGGTGAGGTGTTATGTGACAGTGGAGAGTGCTTGGCCACTGTGGGCGTGATGTCTGGCGTGTCTCTCTTTCCTGCACCCGTCTTTCCGTCTTTGTGTCTTGGTCACATGGTTACGTTACGCCTTACGCGACGCCACGGCCCACGCGTACCGCACATTGGCCCATATACGTGCCTGGTACATATACATACAGCTCTCCCTTCACATCCCCAGAGACTGTGCGGCGGGCCCGGCGCGGCGCAGCAAGCAACATGCAGCCAACACACACGAGCTCGGATGTGTGCACGCCCTCAAGCGGTTGCCTGCTCCTCCGCAGCCAATTCGGCAGCTTGCTCCGCTGCCTCGTGATCTCGCTCGATCTCGAGCAGGATCTCGCGCGCCCGTATCCGCGCGCCGACGCGCGACGCGAGCTGGAAGCAGCCGTTGAGCCTACACGAAGTGGGTGAACTAAGAGTAACGGACCCTTTCATCACAAGCACGGAAGCAGGCGTTGAGCCTCCGGTGAAGCGAGTAGATCTCCTGCCCGCACAGGGCGCGCGCGGTGAGTCGGAGGACGCGTATCGTCGGAGAGGCGCGGGGCGTGCGGTGTCACCTTGCGAGGCGGCGTCAGCCGCTCGCGCAGCATCGTCTGCACATCGCCGGTGACGCGCTTCGAGATGGTCTGCTTGCCAAAGTCGTACGGCTGCTCGCCGTCCGCAAAGGGCCTGCAGGGCCGCGCCCCGGCACCGAGGGGCCGTCGAGGCTCTTTGGGCAGTTGCGGGAGCGCGAGAGGGAGATACCGGGAGATACCGGGAATACCGGGAGATACCGGGAGATACCGGAATATACCGGGAGATACACGGAGATACCGGGAGATACGAGATACGGGCAGATACGGGCAGACACGGGCAGATGCAGGGAGATGCAGGGAGATGCGAGGAGATGCGAGGAGATGCGGGGAGATACGGGGAGATACGGGGAGATAGAGGCAGATAGAGGAGTGCACCTGCCGACGAGGACCGCAGCGCGCGTGTGCGCGTCGAGCATCGTGCGTCCCTCCTCGCCTGTGAGGAAGCCGAGCTCTCGCGAGTGGTGCAAGATGGCCTCGCGCTGTGCCTCGCCTGAGTCGCATCGCGCAGCCGGCGTGAGCAGACGAGCGCGGCCCCTCGGGCGCCTCCTCTGGCGGGGCAGCTGTCGGCGGCGGGCAGAGCTTGGCGGGGCAGCTGTCGGCGGCGGGCAGAGCTCGCCGTCGGCGCAAGCGCGGACAAGCCGGAGGTACGAGGCTGCGAAGGGCGCGTCGTACTCGCGGCACGCGCCAAAGTCAATCATCGACAGCTGGCGCGTGCGCGGCTCGTACAGAAAGTTGGACCAGTTGGGATCCGTCTGCATGAAGCGAAACTTGAAGAGCTCCGAGAGGGTCAGCCACAGCAGCCTCTCCCCGATCCGGTCGCGCTCCGCGGGCTCGATGGCGCCCTCCGCGGCCGCCTTGTCGATGGGCAGTCCCGCCATCCACTCTGTTGTCAGCACGTGCTTCGAGCAGGAGGAGAGGGGGGGGGGGGTAGGAAGGGTGTGGGGTGTTGTTGTGCTAGGGGATGGTGGGAGGGGGCGGGACGAGGGGGCGGGAAGAACAGGACATCCGCCATGGTTCCAGAGCCCATCTCGCAGTGACAGGCGTTGCGCTGCAGGGCCAGGCGCCTTCGAGGAGAGCTGCGGCACGACGGCGGGCACGGCCAGCTCCGTGTACGGGGAGAGCAGCTTCTTGAACCGGGTGGTGTTTGCCGCCTCGCGCTCGTAGTCGCACTCCTATGCACGGTTTCTTTCCTTTTGGCCGCCGGTTTTTTCTTGTTCGCGCTCGTAGTCGCACTCCTCCAGCAGCTCCTCGCGCGCCACCTCGAGCACCCGGTCGAGGTAGAGGCCGGGAGGGACCACGCCGGTGTACCTGTTCACGGCTGCAGGTGTGAGGAGACGCTGTTCACAGCTCCGGAGGGACCACGCCGGTGTACGTGACGAGCTGACGCATCGACCACAAGTCGGACACGATCGAGTCGGAGACGCCCGGGTACTGCACTTTGATTGCGACCCTCCGCCCGTCGACCAGCGTCGCGCGGTGCACCTGCCCGATCGAGGCTGCGGCGACCGGCTCCTCGTCAAACGCCTCGACGTGCTCTCTCCACCGGTCGCCCAGCTCCCGCCGCAGAGACTCCTCCAGCTGCCACGCCGGCATCCAGTCCGCGCCGTTCCTCACTCGCTCCATGAGCGTGCGCACCGCGGGAGGGAGCACGTCCGCGTCGTTGAAGGAGAGCATCTGCCCCACCTTGAGCGCCGCGCCGCGCAGCCGGCAGAGCGTCGCTGCCAGACGCTCCACGTTCGCCTCGTTCATGAGCAGCGGGTGCGCTTCCTGCTGAGGGAGAGGCAGAGAGATCACTTGCTTGCTCTCGCCTCTCGCCTCTCGTTGGTATCTGTTGTGCCGCGGTACTTGCGCGTGCTGGCTGTTCAGTATCTAGATGCCCTCTCTCTGTGCGTGGCGCTCAGCCTCGTACGATGAGAGGGGTGGTGCAGCCGTGCCGGCCGCCCTCACAAAGTCAAGAGTCTCCGCGGGTCGGGCGGGGTCCCTCCCTCCTCAATGATGGTTCTAGCTCTTCCCTCCACGAGACAAGGCCGCTTCGAATGAGCATAGAGGTGGCCACTGAAAGGGGGACCTGAGACTGGAGGCTCTCTTGTCTGGTGCGCTTCCTGCTCGCCCGAGACAGCCCGTCGGACGGCGGCCGCCGCCGCCCCAGCCGCGAGTCCGATCCCGAGCCCTGGGCCACGGGAGCGGTGGGGAGTGAGGCGCGGCGGAGAAACACGTCGATGTGGGCCGAGCTGCTGCGGGGAAAGGAGCGGCAGCGGGTGGCGGCGGCCTCCGAAGTGGATGGCACGAGTCGCGGGATGCACAGGGATGCTCCGTTGCGTTGACATCTTGCTCAAGGTCTGCCCGTCGGCGGGCGGTGCGCCGCCCGCCGGCAGATCGAGGCCCGCCGACGGGGTGGCGGTCGCACGAGCCGCGGTCGGCCTGCTCGCTGAGGTCTCCGCGCGAGCGGCGGCCGGAGCCGACTCGGTGGCAGCGCTCACGGCGGCTGGGGCCAGCGGCGGCGGTGGCGGCGGCGGTGGCGGCGGCGGTGGCGGCGGCGGCGGCTGCGGCGGCTCGGGGCGCGGCGGCGGCGTGGACGGCCAGCTGTAGCTCGGAGGCTCGCTGGCAGGCGACGACGGTGAGGTGACTGAGGGCGACGGCGGGCTGTGCTTGGGGTGCCATCCGGCCTGAAAGGGTGCCAGCTGGCCCGACTCGGCCAGCCGGAGCACCTCGCGGCCCACGAGCGCAGCTCCGCGAAGAAGGCGAGAGGCGTCCCTGGCGTGAGCGACAACCATTCGAGCGCAGAGTGCGCAGTAGAGACGTCGATCGGCGCCGAGGAACTTGCCCGGCAAACAAAAAGAATTTCGCGTTATGGCCGCGCGCGCGCGCGCACTGGCACTAATAACACAGGTACACCAGAACAAAAAGAATTGAATCATTCTCTCGAAGGCGTTCGCCGCCGCCGCACACGCGCACACATTTGTGTATGTCTCAGGCGGCGGCGGGGGGTGGATTCGGCGAGGGCGGCGGGCAGGGCGCGCCGGCGCTACCATCGACTGAGGCGAGCGGCGCGGGGGGGAGCGGCGCACCCGCAGGGGCGGCGGTGGCAGGTGCGGGCTTTGAGCGGCGAAGGTGGAGTGGATGCCGCGCCGAGCAGGGAGGTGGTGCCAGGTGAGGCGACACTGCCGCTGGCGTGGCTCGACCGCTGCGGGCGGGTCGACGCGACGTTCGAGCACACCTTTGGTGACGGCTCCCGTGCGAGCGGCATGACGCTGCTGATGGTCGCGATGGCCAGTGGCCGCAAGAAGCTAGCTGAGGAGATTCTGCGGCGCGGCGCGGATGTCTCGTTGCAAAACAGCAACGGCAGCTACGCGCTTGGACTCGCCGCCGCGAACGGCTACGCGAAGCTGGTCGAGCTGGTATTGCGGCACGGCGCGGAGGTCGACCAGCGAAACAAGGTTGGCAGCACAGCGCTGATGCAGGCCGCCTACAATCGCCGCGAGCAGATTGTGGACACGCTGATCCGGCACGGCGCGGCGATCGACATGCAGGACAGCGTCGGCGGCACCGCGTTGATGGCTGTCGCCTACAAAGGCCACGAGCGGATTGTCGACATGCTGGTCCGGCACAGCGCGGAGATCGACCTGCAAGCCAAGGACGGTGGCACCGCGCTGATGCAGGCCGCTTTCCACGGCCAGCCCACCGCCCTCCTCCGCCTGCTGCGGGCGGGCGCAGACATGACGTTGCGCGATGCGGCGGGCAAGACGGCGCTGCAGTACGCCAAGGAGAAGGGCCAAGCCGAGTGCGTCGAAGCCTTCAGGACGTATCTCGGGGAGGTGGCGGCGGTTCGGAGCAAGTCGCCGTCGGCCGAGGCGGGCGGCGCAGGGGCGAGCGGCGCACCCGCAGACGCGGCGGCGGCGGGCGCCAGTGCCGCGGCCTCTGCTTCGTGCGGCGAGGGCGCGGAGGCCGAGCCGGGCAGTGGGACGGTGCCAGAGGAGGTCGTGGAAGCGGCTCGGCGGGGCGAAGAGGTGGCGGTGCTGGCGTGGCTCGAGGGCGGCGGGCGGGTGGACGAGAGGTTCGAATGCGACTTTGGTGACGGCTCTCGTGAGAGCGGCATATCGCTGCTGATGGTCGCAATGATCAATGGCCACGAGGGGCTGGCCGAGGCGCTGATCCAGCGCGGTGCGGATGTCTCGTTGCAGACGAGATGCGGTGTCACCGCGCTCATGTTCGCCGCCGCGAACGGCCGCGAGAAGCTGGTCGAGCTGGCATTGCGGCACGGCGCGGAGATCGACCAGCGCCATTACAATAAGGGCGGCACTGCGCTGACAGGCCGCCGCCTTTGGCCACGAGCGGATTGTCGACATGCTCATCCGGCACGGCGCGGAGATCAATCTGCAGGCCAACGACGGCGCCACTGCGCTGACTATCGCCGCGTGCTACGGCCACGAGCGGACTATCGATACGCTGATCCAAAACGGCGCAGAGATCAACCTGCAGCACAGCGTCGGCGGCACTGCGCTGACTTTCGCCGCGCGCTACGGTCGCCCCGCCGTCATGCGACAGCTGCTGCGGGTGGGCGCAGATATGACGCTGTGCACTAAGAAGGGCATGACCGCGCTGCAATGGGCCAAGGAGAGGGGCCACGCCGAGTGCGTGCGCGAACTCGAGGAGCACGCGGCGGCCAAGGCGGCGGCCGAGAAGGCAGCGAAGGAGGCGGCGTGGGCTGCGGGGGCGGCGGAGAGGGCGGCGGAGAGGGCGGTGGAGGAGAAGGAGGCGGCGCGGCACGCCGACGAGCTGCTGGCGGAGGTCGAGGCGGAGAAGCGCGCTAAGGGCAAGAAGGAGAAGAAGGGCGGAGGAGGTGCGGGCGGGGCGGGGCCATCGCAGGAGACGGAGGAGGGTGCAGAGGCGCCGTCCGAGGCAGCCGCAGACGAGGCCGAGAAGAAAGCCGAGGAGGAGAGAATGATCTGGCTTCTCGAGAAGTGTCATGAGGAGCGGATCCGGCTCGGCATCACGGCGGAGAGCCAGGCAGCGGCGTCGGCAGAGGTGGCTAAGGCGGCGCGCTTGGACGCGGAGGCGGACGAGGCGGAGGAGGAGGCGGAGGCGGACAAGGCGGAGGAGGTGGCGGCCGTGGCGGCGCTGGCGGCTGCCGAGGTGGCGCGGGCGGAGGCCAGGGCGGCGCAGGTGGAGGCCAGAGCGGCGCTGGAGCAGGCCAAGGCGGCGCTGCGCGGGGCCAATTTGGCGCTCGAAGGGAGTGAGACAGCGCTCGAGGAGGCCGCGGCTGCTGCAGTCGCGAGGGCTGCCGCTGCGGCCGCGTCGATGGCCAGGGCAGTTGCAGCCAGGATGGCGGCGGATGCGGCCCAGGAGCGCTAATAGAGAGCTGCCGAGGCCACGGCCGGTGCGACTCTCGAAAAGAAACACGCTGGTTGAAAATGGGAACGGCGAACCCGGCAAATGAGGAAATGACAAATGAGCCCCGTAATTTTATCGAATGCGCTAGGGCCGTACCGCCTCAAGATTTGCCCCCCCCCGGGCCGTATTACCTCAGCGCACAGTGGTAGATTTCGCGCCGGGCGCGAGGGTGCGGAGCTCCCCAGAGCTCTCTGCACACAGGACAGGAATCAGGATGCTTGGCGACGACCACGAAGAACACGCGAAAAACCGTCACAAGGTGGGTGGGTGGGCACCTGGGCACGAGGAATAAGCGCAACAAGGCCCTCGATTTTCTCTACTCTTCCACTGTCGCCCGACGGAACCGCCGCGCTCTCCAAAGAGATGCCAACGTCAATACCCTATACGTACCGCTTACCGCACTGGGCACTGCCCCAGTGACCCTCAAGATGCCGGCTACACCGGCGACCGGCCGGCGCGGCGCGGCTCACCGCGCACCACGCACGGCCGACGCGCACACGCACGCACGCACGCACGCACGCACGCACGCACGCACGCACGCACGCACGCACGCACGCGCAGATCCGGACGGACGGACGGACGGACGACACAGATACATACGGCTCCTGACCACCCGCACATGGCACATGCACAACAAACAACACAGAGCACATGCATCATGGTTCGACGTTCCTTCATGATCGATGCACATGCCCCAACAACACTGCACTGGCTCAACGCCCTACAGGCACAGCACCAATAGCAAACGACACGTAACACATGCACATAGCACGGCACCGAGGTAGTCGCACCACCGTCCTCCGCGCCGACACGGGCAAACCCTGATCGGCGCACTCCTAAATAGAGACCCCACCACGAGGGGGACGTGAGCGGCGGCGCGAGGCAGCCGCCGCTTAGCGAGCGGTCGCCGAGTCGCGGCCCGCCGACTTGCGCGCAACGCTGTCGCGCCACGTGTCGCGCCACGCCTCGGCCTCGTTCACCTCTTCCCCCGCGAGGTACGGCCGCAGACGCGCGGAGAGGGCAGTCTTGTAGTAAGGGTGAGCGGCGACGAAGAGGAGGAGCGATGCCAGGTTGAGAAAAGGCGGGTAGACGAAACCGACCGTGATGTAGCCCGAGAGGAGTATGTTGATCGTGTAGTTGACGGGCTCGATGAAGAGGTCGCCGCGCGCTCCGTCGACCGATGAGAAGGGAAGGACGAAGAAGCCGAGCAGCCGCACGATGGTACCAACCTGCAGCAGGACCCACATGCCCTGCATGGCCCTTGGGTCGATAAATACGGTGCGGTACGCCTCGGCGACGCGGAGGACTCCAAAGAGGGCAAAGCCGGGCACCTGCAATGCAAACACGACAGTCAGGGCGATCGTGCTTGGCACTCCGCCGGCTTGGGAAGTAAAAGCCGACGGGATACGGCCAGGCATGCTGGGATGCACATTCAGCATCTGAGAGGGCACGGTAATATGCTTGACACCAAACACCCCTTTCGTCATGAGGAATCCCGTGGGGACGTTGATGAGCATCGCGAGCGCCACGCAGACGTAGGCGAGGGAGGGCATGTCGGGCCGCAGGATGGCGAACATGCCGATGGTGAGCTCGAGGGAGCTGCCGAGGCCGTGCAAGTGCGCGATGTGGTTCGTGCCGTGGGCGACGAACTTCTTGTGCGCGCGCTTGACGGTCCTGCGCTCGACGTAGTAGGCCTTGAGCAGAAAGTAGACGGTCCAGACGTAGGTGAGCACGCAGAGGCTCGGCCGCATCGACGCGACGTTGTCGCCGCCGTAGAACTGCTTGCCGAAGTGCTCGCGCCCTCCAAATGCATTGATCTTGCTGATCCACTCGAGCACGGCGGCGAGGGGCTTCTCGCCGAGGCTGGCGGAGCGCGCCATCACGCCAGCCAGTGCGGCAGCAAAGCCAGCGCCAAACGTGCTGTGCAGGAGCAGCGGCGTGTGCGCACTCTTCTCCAGCGTCGCCAGCGAGTTGGCGGAGAGCGCCCGCGGCAAGTAAGCAGGCCCTGCTGGCGGCGCGCCGCCCTCCTTGGAATCGGTCGCCGCGGACTCTCCCACGGGGTAGGCGGCGCTCGACCGCCTTTCCTCCTCAGGGGTGCGGATGCGGAGCTGCGGAGGCCACACCAGCTTGGCGATGGCGAAGACGGCGCAGGAGAAGAGGATACAGTGAGGCGGGTAGACGAAGGCGACCACCTACCACACCCACCCCTCCGCGTCGCGCGCGCATCAGGCGGCGGCGTGCGAGGCTGGGCGCCCGCACCGTGGTCCCCGAGATGAGGATGGTGAAGCTGTAGCAGAGCGGCTCCGTGAAGAGGTCGCCGCGGCCGCCATCCTTGGACGAGTACGGCGTGAGGTAGTAGCCCCCCAGTCGCACAGCGGGGCCCACCTAGGGCCAAAGGCTGTAATTAGACACGTGATGTTCCAACATCCAGCCGTACACGCACTCGCCGATCGTCGTTGCGCGGCATCGACTCGGCTGCATCTCGGCTACATCTCGCTTGGAGGAGGATCCAAAGGTTTGGCAGCAGCTTGTCGTTGAGGTAGAGGACGCGCACCGCCTCGAGCGCGCGGCAGACGCTCCAGAGCCAGAACACGGGGACAATGAGGTGCTTGATCCCGACGCGCGGCGTGAGGAGCAGACCCGTCGGGATGTTGACGGCGAGCGCGAGAATGGCAGCGGAGTGGGCCCAGGTGGCGTCGTCGCGCCAGAGGATGGCACAGACGCCAAGGGCCATCTCTACGAAGGAGCCGAGCCCATGCAGCGCAACGACGATCGGCGAGTGCGTGTACGGCTGGGTGGCGGCCCACGTCGGGGCGAGGCGCTTGCGTTGCGCGCGTGCGATTGCGCCGCGCTCTGCAATGTGCATGATGCCCCACGAGTAGCAATAGAGGAAGAAGAGGCCGATGGCTAGCGAGCCGTTGACCGGCTCCGCGACAAAGTCGAACTGGTTGTCGTAGTGGTCGGGGAACGCCTTGCGGGGCGGTGGGCGCTCTGTGGTGAGACTAGTCATGGCAACCGGCAGGCCCAATGCGGGCTTCTCTGCCTGCAGCCGCTCGATGAGAGCCAGGAAGAGCTCCGAGGGCACCTCGTACACTGCGATCACGGCACAGCACAGGACGATGAGGCTCATGTCCAGCCGCATGTTCATCCTGGCGGCGGAGGCGTCTTCCGCGCGCCGCTCGGCGCACACAGCTGTCGCCGCCATGTGACCTCAGTGGCCGCCCAGCTGACGAAATATGGTGATCGGAAAACTTACACACACATGCACACATGCACACACACACACACACACACACACACACACACACACACTGCAGGCTTGACCCCAGTTGGGCCACGGTGACTAGGTGTGAATGGGGGAGTTCGGTATTCACAGTCGTTTACACTGAGGGAGCAATGGCAATTATTATTCGGGTTGCTTTGCCGTCATCATTCAGGGCGGCGTCCTACCATTGCGGCTCAAGTCAATTATTAATATTGCTGGTGTCCGCCGTGCGAGGCGCCGTTCCACTTCGGCGCCGCCGGTCTGGCGCGGTTTCCTATTTGCAATTATTGCACGCCGCGCCGCCGTTGGGCGAACTTATCGGCAGCAACTTATTGGCGCGGTTTTCGCGATGTCTCTCTTAGCTCTGGGTCGCAATGGGCGATCCCAGGCGGGAGCAGAGGCCAGTGGCCTCGATTCTCTGATGGGCTGGGCCTACACTACGATCGAGTTCACGTTATTCCTCTGGTCGATCGCCGTGGGCCTCGCTTATGACGGTATTGCAGCCCTTCTCACTAGCCGGGTCTACCGTGCCGGGGCTGGGGCAGTCCTCCTCTACCTGCTGGGTACCACCCTGATTGAGCTGGTGACAAGCGGTGACGGGGGACCTGAGCTCCTCTTCTTCCTCAGGATGGCCGTCTTCGTCTACTGTGTCGGCTATCAGGTTCGCGCACTCTGTGACTACACCCCTGTCCGCGTCCTCCTCCTCCTCAGTGGAGGGTACCCCTTGTTCCGCCACGGGGCGGCGGCGATTGCCGAGCCGTTCCGGGACTACGCGGCGATGGGCCCTTATGCAGGTGTGCTCCTCACCTTCTCCGCCATCTACCTCGCCACGCGCTCCATGGGGCGGCACGTTGGCTACTTCATGGACACGTACATCAAGACGTACGTGCTTGAGACCCAGATCGATTCCCTGCTCCGCCGAGTCCGTGGAGGCGGTGCTCATGCTGACGAGCCTTCAGAAGAGTCGGTCACCCTCCTCCACGCCTATCTCCGAGCCCGCGGTGGCCTGCTTTGCACGCTTTCCGTCGCCGTTTACCAGTACGGCCTTGTCATGATCCCGCTACTAGTCCTCGGGGGGCTCGGGGGAGTCGGCGCTGTTTGCCCTTCGTGTGGCAGCTCGATCGCATCCTGCACCTACGACACAGATCAACGGTGCCCGACCATCACCATTGTCGCGACCAACGCGTCGGCGATGGCAGGCGTCGGAGTCGTGAGTACCGTCACTCTTGCCACCCTCATCCGGCCGCGCTACCTGCGCATCTTTGGGACGAACGCCCTTCAGGCCCTTGTGGCGATGCGCCGCCGCCCAGCCGCGGGCACGCCCTTCTCCATCACTGCCGATACCTCCAAGGGCGATATCGTCCAGGCCATCTCCGCCGGACGCATCTGCCAGATGGAGGCAGTCGAGCAGCTGGCCCAGCAGCTTTCTGGCGTCGAGGCCGAGGAAGAGGGGGAAGAGAAAACCCGAAAGCTTGCGAACATTACCCGCAGCCTGGACCTCCTGAGGACGCTCAAGGAGACTGCAATCCCTGACGCCGGGGGGTCCGAGCACGGTCCAACCGTCCCAACTGGGGATTATACCTTCACTTTCGCCACAACGTGAAATCTCTACAACAAACTCTACATCATAAGCGGCGAACGAGGCACGGTCGCTCTCCGACATGAGGCGCGTTGCACTTGCCAGTGCTGCCCTGGCCTTCTGTCTGCCCGCCCAATGGGTGGCAGTTGCCTCTGCTGCTGTGGCATGCCTCACGGCTGCGACTGGCCGGCGCCTCGGCGCGTCAGCTCGGCTCGGCGTAGCGATAGCCGATAGTGGCCAGCGCAACTCGCTTGGACTCAACGCTCAGGCCAGGAGCTCCCGCACGCGCTGGCGCGAGTCATGGCGCATGCAACGCGCAGCAATGCTCGCCTCGCCTCGCGCAAATGCGACCGTCCTCGCAGCCGACAGTCCACCGCCTGCTAAAGAAGCACAGCGACGAATGCGGCACCGGCGACACATGGCAGGCTGGTCATGACGCAGTCATAGGGTGTTGTGTGCCGTCAGAGTGACTCCCTGTGTGTCAGGGATAGTCAGGGCTGTCCATCAGAGCTCCAGTAAGCTCGGAGACACCCCATTAGCGCGGCTCGACCTCTTTGAGTCACTGCCTTAGTCCCGGCGGTTTGGCTGTAGAGCCTCTACAACAAACTCTACAGCAAAATCGCGCTCTACATCGCTCTACAGGCGACTCACATCGTCACGCGCCGGATGTAGAGCTCTACAGCTCTACAGCGCTCTACATCTCTACAGCTCTACAGCGCTCTACACTCTACATCCTCTACACCCTCCCTCAGGTCGGCACTCTGCTCCTCTGACGTCGGCGTGCTGATTGACCGGCTCGACACGGAGGGAGGCCTTGGCGGGCTGTACAAGCATCTCGCGCACACCAAGGAGGGCCCTCTACATCTCGTTCCGAGCATCACCCACTGCGCCGTCTGCGCGCTCATCGTTGCAATCGCAACACGAAATAGCCCACAAAAGTCTAAGGACGCGCGAACTGTGCGACGGAGTAACCCACACGAAAAGTGGGTTTTGGGGGTTTACGGTGTGGGGGAACCATGCGTCCTCCCCCCCCCCCTCCCCCACACCCCACCCCTCACACAAAATTATTTGTGGATGGCAGAGATGGCAGCGCGAACCACACTATAACGCCCCCAGTTCGGCGTACATAGACCGCGCGTGCAGCGCGCTCCGTGTTTGCATATCGCCCTGGCGGACTCGTTTACACTTCCTAGCTCAAGCCAGGCGCCGCAGGCCATAAAGAGGAGCGCAGATTAAAATGGCGCCGCAGGCTCCCGGGCCGTCCGCGAACCAGTAATCTTTAAAAAAACAAAAAGATCATCACAGCGGCCTCTGTGATCTCCACATCCTCCAATCTCCAATCTCCAATCTCCAGCGTCATGTTTTGCCGGATCAGATCTCCGATCTCCATCTCCAATCTCCAATCTCCAACGCGTCATATTTTGCCGGATCCAGTTCAGATCTCCGATCTCCATCTCCAATCTCCAATCTCCAATCTCGATTCCGGGGGGCGGGGGAGGGGGGGGGCTCGAACCTTCAAGGAGATGCGCTATGGATTCATTCACACCGCACATCTCCGATCTCCGATCTCCAATCTCCCATTTGACCCCTGCCGCGCCGCCAGCTGCGATCTCCAATCTCCAATCTCGATCTCCAATCTCCGCTCCAGCGGTGGATGCCCGGCGCGAGGATCTACGATCTGTGTTCTCCATCTCCAATCTCCACCTTTGACCCTGGCAACTGCCAACACGATCCACAATCTGTGATCTCAATCTTTCATCTTCAACATAGCCCGACTGTGTGGTAGAATCGGCTAGGATCTCCACTCCTGGTCTGCACTGTCTGCGATCTACACGCTCTCGTAGAGATCTCGATTACTCGGCACAGCTCTGATATGAGTGAGGCTGGTCGCAGCCCAGGAGAGAGACGCGGGGCGTGGTGGGCCGTGGTGCCGCCGGTCCCCGTGAATCAGAAAGAGCGCCTGCTAGAGCCGAGCAGGGCGAGCCGTAGCGACTCCATCTGCCGTTCGACCCGGTCTCGATCCGCGCCTCGAAACGACTAACGTCCACTAGACCATGTAGCGTATGCCGAGTCGCACGCCATAGCAGCTCGTGAAGTGTCTCCGATGCCGTCAAAGATAGCGGCAATTTCCGTCCCGTAATCACCGGCTGTCCACGTGCATAAAATAAATAAAACGGACAAAACGAGGGGTGGGAGAAGGACAGGGTCCCCACCTGCACGAGCAGGATCTTGCTTGGAAGGACGATCAGGGACCCACGGGGGAACGGGAGCGGGGAGCGCATCGCGACACGGAGGGGGGCTGGGCCAGGTTGACCCACACCGACAGGGTCCCAAGGATCCGTGAGCGACGTGCCGCGCGTCCCCCACCCGGAGAGGAGGGCGCGCAGCGAGCCCAGTTCGGTCGCCCATTAGGCTGAACAAGCTTTTCCTCTCGCACCCCGTCTCTTTTCCTTTCCTTTTTTCTCTACATCATCCTCTCTTTTCCTCTCTATTTTCCCGGGGAAACCATCAAATTTTCCGGGCTCTGAGCCGAGTCTGAGGCTGGTTTGGGCCCCAAATCAGCCAAATCGGCAAAATACCGGGTATTTTGCGGGAATACCTGGAAAAACTCGGGTATACCTGGAAAATACCCTGCGACCGCCTGGGTATCGTGCCGATTTCCTCAATTTTGCCTCAGATTTTGCCCCAGACCAGCGGCTCTCAGACTCAGGGTACAGGGAAACTCGCGAGCCTTTCCAGAATGGAGCACCAAACACCCTCTGTTTTCCCTGGAAATTTCCGGAAACGCAAAGTGGGGCTGCGGCCTCTTTTTCCCTTTCTGTTTGCCGGAAAAGCTTGTGCAGGCCAAGTCGCCCACCGCCAGCTCGGGCAGCAGGGCAAGGAGGCTCATTGATTGCGCCAGAAAGAAGAAAAACGGCTCCCACATCCCTTTGGCTGTCACACTGTACACACACACTACGCGGCCACCGACACGACCTAAGGACCTTTAAAAAAAATCGTCGTGCTTTCTTCTCTCGTCGCCCGCCCAGGGTTCCAACTTTTTGCGGGGTATGGTATGGTAGGCTCGCGGCCCAAAGGGTGGGGGGGTAAGGTCCTGACCACCCATCCCCTGTCTCCGGGAGGCTGGGCGGGGGGGTATGGTCTCGAGCTGGATGACCATACCATACCCCGCAAAAGTCCGAACCCGAGGCGCCATCGCGCGAAGTGTTCGCTGAGAGGCGCTCCCTCACGATGGAAGAGGCATCCAGCGCGGATGCCGCGGTAGGGGCCGCCCGGCGGGAGGCTCGAGTAGCGGCCGAGCCTCTGGCGACGGAGGCGGAGGGCATGCAGCTGCACCTCTCCAGCAGCAGCGCCACCGGCTACAAGGGTGTGGTCAGCTGCTCCCATGGCCGCTTCCGAGCGCAGCGCACTGTAGGGAGAAGCAATGTCATCTTGGGCGTCTTTGGCACCGCGGTTGAGGCGGCGTTGGCCTACGCGCGGTCGGTCGGCGAGTACGATTCCCCAGCGGTGGTGGCAGAGGCGGAGGGCATGCGCCTGCATCTGTCTGACCGCAGCGCCACGGGCTACCAGGGCGTGCACATGGACAAGGGCCGCTTCCGAGCGCAGCGCACGGTGAACGGGGCCAATCACGTCCTGGGCCAGACCTTTGACACCGCAGTCGAGGCGGCGGTGGCCTATGCGCGGGCGTTCGGACCCCCTGCACGCGCCGGCGTCGCACCCCCTGCGCGCCCGCCCGACGGCGGTCGGGCAGAGGTCCCGTCGGAGGCGACTCGCGTCGCTGCGGCCAAGGGTGCGCGGCCAAGGGTGCACGGTGCGGGCGCCGCAAGGCAGGAGGAGGCGGCGCAGCAGCAGCAACCTGGCCGGCAGAGGCCGGGAGCGGCAGCCAAGGCCGCGGGGAGGGCGGTGGCCGTGCGCGGTGGGGTGGTGAAGGGCGCGCCCTCCAGAAAGAAGCGGCTCGCACGGCGGGTCGGCCAATGGAGGTCTGGCGCCGCCGTGGAGTACGCGGTGGTGGCGCCTCAGCCGCCGCCGCCGCTCCAGCCGCCGCCGCAGCGGCCGGGCGGGGTGGACCCGTGCGTGCTCTACAAGGTTGGGCTTGAGGGAGTGCAGGGCCTCACCGACGCCGTCTTCGCCATGGGCCGCATGATACGCGAGGCGGGAAAGGACCCCGTCACCGCCCAGGCCGTCCGTCAGTGGAGCTGACGCGGTGCACGCCCCTGCACACAGCGTCACTCTCTCGGCATGTCTCTCGGCTCCTCCGTCTCTCGGTTTTGAGTGTAACTCTCTCTCGGTTTTGAGTGATGATGAAACTAGAGGAGGTCGGCATTTCCCAGTTGCTTGCGCACGCGTCAGCGCTCGCGCGGCGCGCACCCGCCGCTGCCGAGGTGAGTCTACTCCCGACTAGGACAAGCGTACACGGCGTCTCCACAGTAGGCGCTGACTGAGAGTACGAAAGAAAGGCCGCGGGGAAAAATCCTATCGGATGAGAAGAAAAGAAATTTGGGGCCCATCGCCGCTCCTGGTCGGGCGTCGGCGCACCACCAATGCCCGGCCTCCTCGGCGTTGCCAGCTCCCTGCGGCTGCAGGTCGCAGCACACAACGCCCCCGCCGCGCTGCGGCCGCTGTTGGCGCCGCTGCTGGCGGCGAACCTGCGCCGCATCAGCCCGACGGCCGATGCCGACTCGCTCGAGGCTGCCGTGCGGCCCGTGCTGTTGCCGAGTGAGCAGTGGGGCGACCTGGAGCGGTGGCGCGGGAACGCACGCCTGCTAGCGTGGCTGCGCTCCGCCTACATCGCCTCTCGCGACGAGACGCGTGCGACGCTGCCGGCCGCGGACCGCTCGCTGCAGGCTTATCCAGGCACGCTTCCACACGCGCACCAGATCCGCGAGATCTTTGGCACGCGTCAGCCCGATGGCGCGTGGCCGCCGCCGCCGCCGCGCGAGCCGCCGCCGCCGCGCTCCCCAAAGGAGTCCACCGCCGGTGTCCCCCTCGGCGAGGTGCTCGAGGCGGCGGGAGGGCTCGTGGCGGGGCGCAACGCGCTCAACATCTGGATGGAGCGGAGAGGCGTGTACGAGCTGCTCACGACCGAGCTCGTCGGCGCGCTGGGCGGATACCTGAGGGGCAGGCTCGCGCGGCTGGGCAGGCGGCTGGGGCGGCGGCCTCGCCTACTCGAGGCGGGCGCCGCAGACGGACACCTTGTGGCGCATCTCCGCGCGTCGCTGGCGGGCGAGAGGGGCGAGGCTGCGGTCGCGGATGTGTTCGCTTGCGACGACTTCTCGACAGCGGCGCCGGGCGGCGTCCGTGCCGCGCGCTCGCGCGGCGTGGAGCAGCTGGGGTACTGGGAGGCGCTCGCCGAGCACAAGCCGGATATGGTGGTGTGCGCGTGGATGCCGATGGGCGTGGACTGGTGACTCTCGCCTCCGACCGAGGAGCCCTGCACACCGTGGGCGCCGAGGCGTCGCCTCGTGAGTAGGTCGCACGCCTTCCGCCACACCCCCACGGTGCGCGAGTACCTCCTGCTCGGCGAGGCCGACGACGGCTCGGTCGGCCACCTGTGGCGCACCTGGGGCAATCCTGCCTTTCGGCCTCCGACCGCTCCGCCGAGTCTGCCCCCGCCCTACTTGGCCGACGGGTGGGAGCGGGCGGATGTGCCCGAGATTGGGCGGTGGATGCTCAACCGATTCGACTCGGATCTCGACCCGCACGGCTCGCGAGCCGTCTCGTTCGTCCGACTGAACAGCTGACGACAGCTGACATAGCAGTGCATGAGGAGTGGGGCTGTGTCCAGCGGTGACAGGTGTGTGCATAGCGCGCGCTAAACGACTAGAACTGGCGGGAATATCGTATCTTACGAATACTTGATTTTTCACGCCCTCGCCGTCTAACAATCGTGTTCAAGCGGCCCTCCTGTGAGCTGGTACACCAAGAATGGCTTACCACTGCCAGGGGCCACACTGTGGCAAGCTGTGATGAGCGTGGTTTGGCTTGTGCAGCCCATACGGACGTGGTATATACACATATATGCGGCCACGTGTCGGCCGGTTCGGGGCACGAATTTCCACGGCCTAACAATCGTTGCTGTAGTGGCGCCAATGGCCGCCTCCCGTCGCGCCATTGGCACCCTAGCCAGCAGTAGCACCGGAGGCAACACCACCAAGCCCACAAGTCACAAGAGTGACGGAGATGCTTGCCACGAGCACCGTGACGCCCGACCCTGTGAGCACCGTGGGCGTATACGGCTGCATACGGTGAGATGATGCACAGCATGGCCAGACGAGGGATTCAAGGCTCGCCAGCTGTATGTTAGTGAAGTATATGGATGTGATCAACATGTGTGCGTCACAGGTACGCGCAGCAGCGCATGTAGCCGCTGATATCGAAGACAGCGCAAACAGGTCTTTTTGCGCCACGCACCCGATGGCCGTGCAGGTCCAACTGCGTGCACAGGAATGCTATCAGCGCGTCTCCGCCATAACTGGACATGGCAATGAAGCAGCTGAGACGTGACAACACCGGTGCTGGGCCAAGGAGGTGCCGCTCACCGCCGATTGTTAGGACTGTCGTCGAAGGCGAGCGGCGGTCGCCGGGCAGCAGCTCGTGGCGATCGTCGATCCGCGAGCTGCCAAGCTTGTCACAGGCCGGCACTGGATCGAGGACGATGGCGCCGCGCGGCTGGAGGCAACGGAGAAAGGCATTGTGGAGCGGCGAGGCGATTGTTAGGAATTTCGAGGCGCGGAAAAATCCGACAGCCGGGAAAAATCAAGTATGCGTGACATATATGGACACCGGCACTCGCGACTCTATAGACTAACGGCTTTCGCCGCGCGCTCTGGGGCACTTTAGTCTTTTCGTACACAGCTTTCTGACGTACTTACGGCTTTGTTTTACCCCGCTGGGCGGCTGGGCAGCCGCTCTCGCCGCTCGCGCGTCCCCGCGCCACCACACGGCACATTGCACACCATCCACGCACGGCGACCCGCGATCGAGACCGCTGTGAGTGTGACCCAGGACACGCACGCAGCACACAATCTCGACGAATGCGCCTGACACGCCACCTGTTTCACAAACTGTTCTCTCAGCCGGAGCCCACTTCGCACTTGACCCTGCCCCCATTCACGGGGAACCGGTTACGATCTCAGCGTCAGGGACACCGCACTGACAAGAAAAAGAAGGCTCACAACGATTGTGACTGTCATCCCAGTGCAAGCCGTTCGGCCCTCAGCCGGCGCTGCTCTACGCGCAGCAGCGCGGGCTGCAGCGATGCGCTGGCGGACGACGATGTTGGAGTAGACTGTCGGCGCGAGGGGCTCGCGCGTGAGAGGGCTCAGGACCTCGCCTGGGGCGGCCGAGCTCAGAACCTCGCGAATCGCTGCGCGTTCGTACGTGAAGCCATCGCTGGCAACAACAGGGTCCCGCATCATCTCGTGGGTGATGGGACATGTCAACAGGTCCTCCTCGACGCTGCGTGGAAGCGGGTAGCCGCTGGAGCTCCTCCCGCCTCCCTCAGTGCGAGGTGACCAGGTTGGTCTCGGCCACAGCAGAAGCCATGCCAGCATCGCGGCCATGGCAGCGAGGACAGAAGGTGCCTTCACCAGCAACATGATGTGATCGAAAGCGGCGGGTAACTGAGGTACACCGGGCGCAAGCAGTGCGGATTCTATCGGGGGAAAAGTCGGGTGCGCCAGCAGAGCTGCAAGAGCGGCCAGCGCAACAACTGCTGCTGCTGCTCCAAGACCCCGACGCGTGCAAAGCCGCCGCGTCGCGGGCGAGCGCTCGCGGCTGAGCATGCGGTGTAGATGAGGAAAGTCCTCCTCGACGGCGGAGGAAGCGGCCTCGTCGAGGTCTCCAACTGAGGCTCGCACCTCTGCCGCAGATTCGGGTGTGCCACAGAGCGTTAGTACCTCGAGCAGCGAGGAAGCATAATCGGCCGCCTGGCAGTCGCTACCAGCCTCAAGCATCCCGACGAGCACCCGGATGCCGCCCGAGGCGTGGAGCTCCTCTTTGATTGCATTTTGCTGGATGGCGAGGTGCAGGAGCGTGCCCGCCGCAGCCTCTGTCGCCTTTGAATCGATCTCGTCGCGCGCTCGGATCAACTTGAGCAAGGCCCTCACGCCACCCGCCTCGCGAATTGCATCACCAAAGGTGCCCCGGTTGGCAAGGGAGCGCAATGCGCAAGCGGCACCCTCGGCGGAAGCGGACTCCGCGCCGCTCCAAAGCAGACCAACGAGGACTCCAACCGTCGGTTTCATCGCCTCGTCGGGCGCGCCATTGCACGTCAGTTCGAGAGCCCAGCCCGCAATATTCTCGAGCTGAGCAAGCGCCACCAGTTTTGCCTCGTCGGGATCTGACAGCGGCCCGATCGCCTGCACCCGTTGAGCTGAGGATCGCGAGGATCTCGAAGAGCGCGACGACGACGACGACGACGACAAGCTGCGCCGCTCGGCGCTCTGGCGTGTCATGGAGCGCCGAATAGTGCTCAGATTCATGTCGCCTAGGCCGCAAGAGCGCGAGGTCCAGCTCGCGCACCTCCCATTGGTGGGACGCACGATGCGCACTGGAACGGGCCGGAATTTCCCTCCCGGGGTCCCCTCATGCGTCGGCTCGGAAGACGCCACCGTGGGGGTCAACGAGGGAAGGATTGGTTGTGGGTAGAAATGGGAATGCGACCGTGGGAGAGGGAGCAAGAACGGTTCTCTTCTCTTGCATGTATCCATCCCAAGCAAGGTGAAGAACAGCCAGGCTCGGACTGGACACCAACGCGGTAACCGGTATGGGTGGACGCGAGACGGGAAATGACGGCAGTGTACTTGCAGCGAGAGGCGTGAACTCTTCTTTTGTTCTTTTGCTCGCCTTTGCAGATTCTTTTTGCGCGCCAGTCCCGTGCCCAGTGTCGAGAGATTTTAGAAAACCAACAAGAAATCACGACTCTCACAGTGATTTGGGCTCGGCAGCTTGTCAGCCCTCAGCCGAAGCTGGGGCCAATGGTTGGGTAGTAGGGCTAGAGGGTCGCTCTACACTTAGCCTCTGCAGCGAGCGAGCGCTCAACTTAGCCCCCGCACGGAGCCGGGCTCAGACTTAGACTTGAGCACTTGAGCACTGGATAGGGTCGATTCCGCATGGTACGGGACCCCTCGATCGTCTCGCCCTCCCTCACTGGTGTGTTCATTGGGGGGGGTCATAACAAACACGGTACAGGATCGAGGTGCACGCTGCCGAAGCAGTGTCGTCCCCCCTCTCCCCGACGGCGATGGCGGTGTGACCGATCGAGCTGTATGTCGGGGGGCCTGAACTTAGACGACATAAGGCCAACTCCGGGTAAAACTCGGGTATACCTGCAAAAGTCCAGGTTTACCCGAAAAATACCTGGACGCGTCCCACATATGCCGCGCACGCCTACTCCCAGGGCCAGTGCGCTACTTGCGGCGCGCACCGCCTGCTCAAGTACCCGCACCGTACCATGTGCTGCCGCTACGCGTGCCAGAACGCGGCTGCGGCGCAGCGGCGAGCGCGGCTTGCCGATGGCGGTGCGGACGATGCGGTCGTGCCGGCGTTCTGCTACAAGATCAAGGCGGTGCTTGGCATGCGCTTCTGCGATCCCGATCAGCTCATCGCAACGAAGCAGCGCAACAAGCTGGCTGCTGCCAACAAGGCCCTATGCTACCTCACGCGCGGATCGTTCAAAGAGGACCAGCACACACCCAGGCTTCACCGTCACACGTTTGATTAAGCTTGAGGAGCTTCGTGTCATGTGGGAACTGTTTGGCTAGACGTCGCTCAAGAATGAAGGAGCAGCAACGAAATTCGGAAGAGGAGGATGCTGAGGCGGCGATTGCTAAGCATGAAGAGGATCGATCGCCCGCCGCAGGCGAAGAAAATTTGGGGGCTGCGCCGTATCGTTGATCACGGTGGGAGGCCTGGGAGCCTCCTGGCCCCAGGCCGTGCCACGGCCGACTTAGCCGATGTAAGAGGCTCCCGCTGATCTTAGACCGCGCAAGCACCCCAGCGTGCCAGAGCACACTTAGACCCGCTAAGCCTCGAGGCTCAGAACTTAGACTACTACCCAACCAGTCTGGGGCCGGTCCCGTAGCCGAGAGAGCCCGCGCCGATGAGTTCGACACGGTCGGGGGGGCCTGCGGAGAGGCCAGCGAGATGGCGATCGCTGTACTTCATGGTGTCATCAAGTGACCGGCTGACAAGCCAGAGGTCGATACTCTGGACGACCCATAGGATGCCACGAATGCCTGAAGGAGAGGGAGGCGAGGCCAGAGGCAGGCTCAGCTGCTCTCGGGTGATCTCACTTTGGTGGCTGAAGGACCCGATGGTCCTGTCACATTCGCGTTCCGAGTCGTGGGGGTAGAAGAATTCGAGGTAGAATCGAGTCAGCACTTCCTTGTAGTACAGCGGACCGCCAGGCTCGCCGGCAGCATCCGCAGGGAGGCAGCATATGAGGCACCAGTGAGGGCGGTGTCCCCTTCGTGCGTTCTACACTCCGGCCACGTAGATCTACCAGCTGGGGTCACTTCCTTCCCTCTTGTTTGTGGTGGCGGGCCACCCTGTCCAGAGCCCGGGAGGTGGATCGACAACTCGGATCGACAACTCGTGAGCCGTTCACTTTACTCTGATGAAACTAAAATAAATAGGTGGACGTCCGTACTTCCCTGGCGCCGGACGACTGAGTCGCGAGACTCGTTCGCAAGCGGCGCGCACATCATCCAATGCTGACTCGCACACTACTGCTGCTCGCCGCATCTCTTACGCACGGTCTTGTTCTGACACCGAACCAGTGCCCGTCCTCCCCTCTGCTCCGCCTGCGGGGTGGCAAGGCAAAGCCGGCACCACCTCCTCCCTCGTTCAAGGTCAAGAGCAACGCCGCCGCCGCCTCTGTCGGTGGACTGCTTGGGTATTGCACGGGGAAGGCCGCCAGGTCTGCTTCGAATGCGGCGGCCGTCTCTGTCGGCGCGTGCATCGCGTTGCTCGGTGCCCTCAACAGCCGGGGGTATCTGACGATGAACTACACCAAGATGGAGCGCGATCTGATGTCGCTGCTCGATCTCAACAAGGATGGCGAGTTCGACCGCGAAGATTACGACTTTCTTACGAAGAAGTTTGTGCGCTTGCTCTCAGACAATGGCGTTGGTAGCGCCACGGGCTTCACTGCCGGTTTCTGGAAAGGGTTTTCGACGTCCGACTAGCAACGAAAGCAAGACCAGTTTGACACACAGCAGTGGTGCGCGGTGCGGCAGGACAGTCGCGAAGAAGAGGTTGAACACTGACCCCTGCACCCGTGGCCAAGTGCGTGAAGTGGCGCAAAGTCGTCTTGTCGGCGGTCGTGCAGCTGTGCACTGCACGCGAAGAGAGGACGATCGAGGATGGTGGAGATGAGGCCAGGAGCCGGTGCGCACCACGACCCTTTTTTTAGAGACGGAAAGAGATGCAGGGGCAGGGGCGGGGGGTAATTTCTCTCGTGTCTCATACGTAAAAAGACAACGCCCCGCGGGGGGGCGCAGGAAGCTCCCACAGAGTCGCTGACACAATATCGCGCGGAGCCCCCCCGCG